GAATCAACGTTAAAGGGTGTGGAGGAAGATGGGTGAGAAACAGAACCCAAGCTGCTTAAGGTCCAGTGTGAAATATTCACAGTCAGTCTCGATTTTGGGGAGCAGTGTCCGGTGTATTCTTAAAGCAACGGTCACCGCAACAGCCTGACAGAATGTTTTGGAGGACTTCATGATCCCCTTCTGTTGAGGATTTTTATGAAGATGCAAACTTCATCCTCTAGCAGGACATGGCCCCTTCCTGTACCACCAGAAGCACCAAGTCCTGGTTTGATGCCCAAACCATCACAGTGCTTGACTTGCCAGTCAACTGGCCGTACCTAAACCCCTTTGAGAACCTATAAGGTATCCTCAAGAGGAAAATGATGGGCACCAGTCCCAAAAACAAAGAAGTAATCGGTGATTTTGTCACAGAATTGTATTTTTTTAATTCCTTTTTTCATGGGTTCTTGAAGATTCTTGAAATTGTTTAATTTGTGGACCATAAATCTATAATCCCAATAAGATTAACCTTTTGAATGGAATGATAAAAGCTAAACAACTTTTCAAAGATATTCTAATTTTCTGGAAAGGGTCTGTATCTTTTTTGTCTGTTAAATGCATGCATGAAAGCCTGCAGATGCATTAGCCATTCTTTTTTAGTTTTCCCCAGGCATTTGGTTTTCACCCAGACAATCAAAGAGCCCTCTATGTCATAAAAAAATATGTGATTATAGCAAAGCTGAGTCTAAAGTTTAAAGTCTTTGACAAATCAACACAGTTAAAGAAACCATTAAACTGCTTTTTTTTTATTATTTGGAAGAAGAGATTTGACTACACTACTAACATATCTAATGGAAGCTGTACTACCACATTGCAGCTTTTCTGTACTATTCTGTTTATTTAAAGCTAAAATTGCACTATGTATGTGGGGCAGACCAAGTCAGATGTCCTCCATGTGGTAATTGGATAAATTAGATTTTTTTAAAAGTGTATTCTATAAATAAGTAATAAAATTAGAATTGATCTAAAATATTTTAAGGTAATGAATGTTAGTAGTGACCATTTCGAATTATTAAATATAGAAATATACAAAATTCCTGTCCCTGATGTATAGGACATCCAACAGGTTACTTTTAAATGTCGAACTGCATATTGACATCCGGGCAGGGTCATGATGGGATTTTTCTGACCCTGTCTGTCATGACAAAAAAACAAAGAGTATAGAACAACTTACCCCATCTACGTCAGCCAGCCAGGAATTCTTTAAGAGAAAAAACAAAGTATTGGACACCACTGGAAGGTGTATATGCAACCCTAAAACGGACTAAATGGACAGATGATTGGACGAAAAGGTATAGAGCTGCAAGCACTAGTGAAGTGGTTTTTGCCAAAATTCACATTGGACACACTGTCATACAGAAAGAAGCAGTAACAGGTCATATAGTCAATGCTCTTTGCAAGGTCTAGGATAGTGTTATTTGTGTGGAAATCTCCGTGTTTCTGAAGGAGTATGATGTCGCAAAATTCACGCACAAACGCGGTCTATTTCAGTGACATATTTGGAAAGGCCGAATTGAATATATCTTCGTCTTTAAAGGGAGCACCTTAAAAACCTGGTAGACAAGATGACGTTCACTGGAAAAAATTCAAACGTGGGGGCAAATGCCTTGACTGGAGGAATACTACATTTTTTCAGAACCTTTTTAAAAGCAATTGGTAATATGACACCACAGCGATTCCCTGTCTCAATTAGCACACACCATGATTGAGAAGATTATTCGAGAAACACTTCCCAGTCACCAGTGCTCAGTATGACTGGGTTCTAGATCTCTTTAGTGCACCAGTACGTACTCATGAGGACTAGTTCATAGAGATGACATCTGACTCCTCCCTTAGACTCCAGTCCGCATCACAGATACTGAGCGAATTCTGGATTGGTGTGGAGAAGGAGCATCCACTCATTGCGAAGAGGGCAGTGAGTATTCTGCTTTCTTTTACCGCATCCCTATCTCTGTGAGATCAGCTTTACTGCTTTTGCGTCTATGAAAATAAAAGCACAGATCTAAGCTGGACATTGAGCATGAACTAAAAGTGCCAGTGTCAAGCCTGGAGCCCCACTTAGATTTCCAGCGTAAAACAGCCTCGCTGCAACCGCAAAATGCTAATACCGCAGATCATTACAAATTATGAAACTAGTGTCGGCCAAATAAATACATTTATTTGTGTTCTCTACTCAGGTTGTACTTTGTTCTCATATTGAAAATTTGCGCGGCGGATAATAGGCTTTTTTACAGTCAGAAAAACGTATACAGTCACTGTTACATATAATTGCACGTCTCCGTTCTTTACTCAGGTTGCCCCTTAATGTTCCTTTATTGAAAAAAAAAGAAAAGAAAGATGTGCTTTTATTTTAATTATATATTTAAGGTATTAGTTTAATTATTAAAATAATTGATAATTAGTTTTGAAAAGGAATAGATATTATATTTATCCACTTCAATAAGCGCATTTCGACCCGTTTTGGCCATTTGTTTATGATGTGACGGAAAGATTTTGAGAACAACTGCATTAGCCCGATACTCTTGCAGAGTATTTGTTCCAAAAGGTTAGACTTTCACTGGTGATTCTTTCTTGGAGTCCTCATACTCCTCATAGATCCTCACGTTCCCACGTCGGGAACAACTCTCAGAATTACTTTTTTGATTGCCATTAATTGTTCTTAATTGTTTTGTAAGAATCTGCTTAAATCTAACATATTTACACTTTTTTTTTATCTCTATTTCACACGCATTGTATGTTAGCTTGAGCTTGTCGGCTGTCAGGTGTACTCACTGCATTTCTCTCTCTCCCACAATTTTCTTTGGGTGTTTTTTTTTTTACTGTTTGAAGTAGTGATAAGATTTTTATACCCTCTCTTTTAGATATTGAATGTGAATTATTCAGTGAACTTTTATCGGGGAATGTGTCTGGTTCCACGTGAAGCTAGCTTGCTATGCAGCCATCGTGGCAATACTCAGGGCAGGAAACGGGCTTCCCACCAATTTCATGTGTGGTTGTGCGTCACCCGTCCTTTAATTGTGTTCGAGTATGGTCTGCACTACTTTGTTTTAATTATCGCACAGTCAATTATTAGGTTTTGTCCTCAGTTTCTTGCTGAGTGAGGAAAATTGATCTAGTGTAGGTGTGGTATAGGGTCTTACTGAGAGCTAACGTGATTAGCTACACTTAGCTAGGTCTGCAGTGGCTAACAGGGCTTGTTTTATGAGGTACTCTTTAGATCTGTAGAGCTCAGTAACACCAGAGTTGAACAGGGTGAGTACCGTGATGTAGTGCGACAGACACTTGAGGTGGAATATGAAAAGACACTTGTCAAAATTAAATGATTTTTGTTTTCACAGCTATAGGAGCAAGAACAATTTTTTCTTACTTCTTGTGGAGTAGCCCGAAGATTCAATCTAGTGATTTCCATCTTTCAAGTTGAACGGAAAGTCCCACAGAACACAACAGTGGTCACGAGACATTTTAACAACTCAATTTTTCTTTTTTTAAAACATTACTCTATTCCATCGAGGGCACAGTGGTGTAGTGGCTAATAAGAGGATTCCTGATTTGAATCCCCTGGGGGGAACAGAGTTTAGTGTCTAATTAATCCGACATGCATGTTTTTGGATCGTGGGAGGAAGCGGGAGTACCCTTACTCAATAAATCATAATCATAATACAATATGCGAAAGTTAAGAATTTTTATATAGACTCTCGTTTGAATTTTCTATGCTGGTTGTGTTTTTTTTCTCTTGACAATATTTTTTTATGATATTATTTCAAATTGCACTGGGGTCATAATGTTATAAATGTAAGTTACACTAAATCTGCAGGTCTGCTGAATCAACTAAAGTATTTTCGTTGAATTAGTAGACCTGTCATCATCACAATAACAATAAATAAATAAAACTATCCAGTTATGTGGTTTGTAAAGTCATTACTTGGTGTTTACGCAAGAGTAATAAACATACTAATTTTCTATTATTTTGATCTGTAGCTTTTCAGCTGGCAACTCCAAAATGTTACCTTTTCTATGATAATTGTCGTAATTATATTATAACCAGAGTTTGGAACGTGCACGTTTTTGGTTTAAGTAAATAGATAAACGTGTGTTTTTTCTGGTGGAAAAACTACATATGTGGAGCTAAAATGATGACAGCTTAATTTGAAACTGCAAAAGAATTGTAACTGTAAATACAGGATTTAAATCTGATAAATGCTTCACTGAAACTGAAAATACAAACATTTTAAATTGATTTTCCTGGTCCTTTTTTTCTCAATGTCTGAATTTAATGTTTCAATCCTGAATGAGAGAAATGTCCCAAGATTTAATTTGATAGCAGTTAGATGAAGCCATTGTAATGCTTCAGTTCAAAACTTGATAAAACACCAGTCCAGATGCATAGTTAAATAAAGATAGACTCATTTACAGTTTTAAAATTCTGTCAAAATTTGGACCGACATCTTCAAGGATCAGCAAAGCAAATTTATGTTTGTATTTTCATTTTTTTGTCTCTTTTGGTTTTTTCATTTTCAATTCTTTTGCAGTTTCTAATTAAGATGTCATTATTTTGGATCTGTACATACATAGTTTTGCCTTCACAATTGCAGTACAGATTGAACTATACCATTAAACCATTAATGTCCCGTGTTAAAATAAAAAAAAAAATGTTTGCGTCTTCTACATCCTCTTTTTGTAGCACTCATTTGATTGTTTGTGTTATATAAAGTCTTGTTTTGACTGGAGGATTATGATGTTTCACATATTATCTGGTCTTCAAACTTTTTTATCCACTCTTCAGCTTTTGCGGAAAATACATATAATTCATTTTGATCGTTAGTAATTAAGTAAGCTTTTAATAATTTCACTTTGTCTCTTGCACTCTTTAATTTGCAAAAATGTACGTAATAAGTATTTCTGAAAAATCACATGGGATTGTTCTCTTTACTAACCGACGTTATTCTTAAATCCCCATCCAGGCAGCTTCAGGAGTTACATAGACAAAAAGAATTGGAGCAGGAGCATCAGGAACAGGAACGTCAGGAACGGAATCGACTGGAACGGGAAGAACGGAAGAGGCAGGAGCATCAAGAAAGCAATGCACAGGCGGTGAAGGAGCCATTTGAGCCGGAGCACCAAGAGCAGCAGGCTGACACAGAGAGTGAACTGATAGAGAAAGAGAAGACTCCAGGAGAACACTTGAAGCAGGAACAGCAAAAAGAGTCGGACAGAGAACAAGACTGGGAGAGAGGGAGACGCAATTCCAATGTTGGTAAGTGAGGTTTTTGATACCTTATTCAAATGCCATTTTCAATGGCATTGAGGTATTGGTTAATTATTGAATAAAAACAGAATGCCATATACGGATTCATTTCGGGCTGTTTTCAGTGCCATTCCCTCTTTGAATTTGAACATGCAAACTGGAAACAGGTAAAAGTGTTAATTGGCTATTTTACAAAATGTTCCATTTAATTGGAAATGTAAATTGGAAAGAAGATGACATTGAAGATGATATTTGCCTTCATGCATATTAATAATCTTGAATTCAAGTAAATTAATTGACTATTTTATGAATACTTGCGATAGATAAATCAATTTTGTTCCGTATTTTGTTTTTTTCATATTAATGTATTATTGACATATTTTTAAAGAAGTAAGCAATTTATATGTATCCCTTAGAGCATCACATTTGCTCTATGTGGTAAAGACAAGCTGCTCTACACTACCCAAATAATCTTAATCTTTTGTCAACCTCTAAATAATGACAGGGTGATGTAATTTACCTCTGAACCCTCGATCAAACTACAGGACGGTCATTTGTGACTCTCCCCTTAAAGTGTCACCAATCAGGAGTGAATCGCAGAAATATTTACTTAAACAATTTTCACCAGCTAGCAGTCAAGACGGGCAGGTACAAGCCACTTAGATATCGGGGGGGAGCTGGGACCAACCTCCTGGGAGATGTACCAGAAGGAGGTGAGGTACCTAGCAGCTTATTTGCTCATATTTTCCTTCAGAGCGAGAGCCAGCACAATTCAAAAGCCAGTCAGCATCGATACCTAAGCTAGAGCTTTTTTTCACGACCAAGCTAGTCATCGCCCTCACTGACGACACAGCTAGGGATCCATACCATACCCATATTTTAATGGGTGGGTACTCCTGTCAGTTCTTGTCCCTGCATCCTTACAGCTTTCGACCCGAGAGGTTTCTGCTGAGCCTGATATCTTGGTGGTTGGGACTTGTGAGAGACCACTATCCCGTCACTTGATATTCACCAGAAAAATTGTTTTTTACATTCAAGACGTTCCTTCTCTCATTGCTGGATGTGTGCTGGATCTCTTGCACACGAGATAGATATACTTGTTAGTCTTCAGACATCCTGCTGTTCTTGTTTGGCTTACCCCTGTAACAGTCCTCCACTGTGCCTGTTCCTCATGCCTACTGCACAGCTACAGAGGTCTGTCCATCTCATTGTTTCCTCTAGCTTCCTATTCGATTCCCAGATGATAATAGTAATAATATCGCCATCAGGAATGCTGGGGAATCTTAAGAGAGTGGTTTCTCTGACGTGATAGTAGCAGTTCATAGAGGGAGTTTTGGGTCAAATGGGTGTGAAGTTGAGTGGCAACCGTTTTTTCCAAAAATGCTGATAATGAAAGGGAAATGGGGTGACTGTTGTTGTAGTAGGGGTGACAGCTGCAGTTTTAAATAACATGGAAAGGTAGATAATGGCAGAAATGAGGGGGAGCAGAGATGAGAAAAAGGACTTGACCAAGACTGTAGGGAGGGGATCAAACTTATAGGTGGAGAGCTTTGATTGAAACGCCTGGGAGTTGGAAATTGGAAAAAACTTACAGGGAGTGAAGAGAAGATTCAGATTCAGCTTAATTCGCCAAGTATTTGTGACCATACAAGGAATTTGATGTTTCTCACTTCAGTGGGGTTACATACAAAATACAAAAATCGGGTATTAGTATTTACAAAGAGATAAATACACATGTACATAAGTGCAGATATAGAATATAGAATATATGTACATGTCGTAAAAATAGTGCGATGGGCATGGATGACCGGTGAATTATGGAATAATCGAGAGACAGCCTGGGGGAAGAAACTGTTTTTGTGTCTGGCAGTCTTGGTGAACAGAGTTCTGTAACGCCTAATGGAGCGCAGCAGTTCAAACAGTTTGAGTGCAGGGTGTGAGCGGTCTGCAGTGTTGCTTCCTATCTGATTTTCTGACTCTGGACCTGGCCTCCTGAAGGGCAGGTCGGCCCCAATGATTTTTCCTGCAGACCTAATTGTCTTTTGCAGTCTGTACCTGTCCTGTTTGGTGGCCAGTCGAAACAATACAGTGATCGATGTACACAGGACAGACTGGATGATGGAGGTGTAGAAGATGAACAGCAGGTCCTGAGGCAGGTTGAACTTCTTCACCTGTCGCGGGAAGTACAACCTCTGCTGGGCCTTCTTCCTGAAAAAGTCTATGTGGGACTTCCACTTGAAATCCCGGGCAATTGTTGTTCAGAGGAACTTAAAGAGAGTCCACAGTAGACACTGTCCTGTTGAGGATGATGAGGGGGGGTAAGGTGGGTGGGTTTTTTCTAAAGTCCACTGTCATCTCCACAGTCTTGAGCAGGTTGACCTCCAGTTAGTTATGTCCACACCACAGGACCAGTTCGTCCACTTCATGCCTCGTCACTGTCCTTGATGAGACCAATCGACTGTGGTGTCGTTTGCAAACTTCAGAAGTTTAACAGACGGGTTCTTTGGGGAGCAGTCGTTGGTGTAAAGGCAGTGCTGCGGGGAAAGAACACACGCCCAGGGGGCACCAGTGCTGATGGACCTGGTGATGGAGGTGATGCTCCCAAGCCTCACCAGCTGCCTCCTTTCTGTGAGGAAGTTTAAGATCCACTGACAAGTGGAAGCTGGCACTGTGAGCTATAAGAGTTTCGGATGGAGGGTTTCTGGAATGACTGTGTTGAATGCGGAGCTGAAGTATAAAACAGGATTCAGGTGTATATCCCTTTGGGGTGTCGAGGTGTTGAAGGATGAAGTGCGGTCCCATGTTGACAGCATTATCCCATCGACTGGTTTGCCCAGTAGGCAAACTGCAGGGGGTCAAGCAGGGGGCCTGGGATGACCTTCCGTTGGTTCAGCATCAGCCTCTCAAAGGATTTCATGACACAGACGTCAGGGCGACGGACCTGTAGTCATTCAACCCCGTGATGGTCAGTTTCTTGGGGCCAGGGATGATGGTGGAGCGTTTGAAGCAGGAGGGGATTTCACACTGCTCCAGAGAAGCTCGGTTGAAGATCTTGGTGAAGATGGGTGCAAGCTGGTCAGGGCAGATTTTCGGGCAGGAGAGGGACACTCCATCGGGTCCTGGAGCCTTCCTGGTCTTCTGTCGAGGAAAAGCCGATGCACCTCCTCCACCTCGAACTTCATTGCTGGTGGGAGGTCTGAGTTGAGGGGGGTGGGGGAGGTTTCAGGTTTTAGGCAGGGGTTTAGTTATGTGGATAGGGTGGGTGGGTGATGGGTGTTAAAGTGGCAGTAGAAGTTGTTCAGTTTGTACAGGGCCCGGTCCCCACGAGATAGGTGAGAAACTGAGAAAGTGGATAATTTTGTGAATTTCAGACTTAAGCCATTGATATTATCTGTTGTTACTTCTGTTAGTTGTACAACGTTCTTGTCACATCATACCCAAATTACACTGTAGTATGACAATGGACATTCCATGTCAATTGCTGACTGCTTCACCAAACCGTCAGTTCCCCATAACATACCATTTAAGAGTTTAACAAAAATGTTGTTGATCTTCTGATCAAGTGCTAAAAGTAGTTTTTGTGAGTGTGTCAAAAGGTGGACCTACACCCTGAATACCCATCCTATGCACAGAACAAGAGTAGATTATAGTGGACAACCAACTTGTCCAGTCCCAAAGCATTGGCCACCAAAGTACGCAGGGAGATGAGCCTGCAGACTGTCCACTCACTGCAGCATTTGACCCATTTGGTTGAATTGCCCTCAATCTGAAATTGGGCTCACCAACACAACCCAAAAGTCCTATCTCATAGAAAGAGTCTTTTACCCCGGGGGTGTCAAAGTCAGACATTCACAGTCATTTTCATGTCACCTTTCAGGGGTCTGTCCTTGGTCCATCCTGGCATGGAATATTATTCCAATGCTGTGCCTATGATAACCAACTCTACCTTAGAACCAAGCCATCCTCCACGGCAATTCTGCGATCATTCACCTTAACCACCCGCCTGGACATGATAGAAACATGGATGAAGCAAATTGTACTTCAGGTTAAATGGGTCAAAAACAGAAGACACTGGCACCCGACCCTATCACAAGCTTCACTTTCTCTGGCATCCACCTTTCTGCTCAGTTACCAAACTGGGTGTCAGAATAGACCCCCACCAGAACTTTGACGCCGACATTAAGCATGTCTATAAGAATGCATTACACTTCTCATCAGTTTTCCTTACAAGAGCATTTAGAAGCTATTGTCATAGTGATGAGAAATGTAATATTGTGTCTACTCTGTAAGTCGCTTTGGATAAAAGCGTCTGCCAAATGCATAAACATAAACATAAGCTGCAGTCTATCCGAAACACTACTGCTAGGACCCTGCTGAATGTGTGAAATGATGCACACCCATTCTCAAATCCTTCCACTGGCTTCCTGTCCCAGTTAGGATTGACTACAAATTCTCGCCTCTCAGCAACCAGTGCCTGCATAGAAATGCTTACCTGAAAGAGCTGTTCTCTCCCCATCGAACCACAATAATCAGACCCTCTGGTCCACTGCCACCAGTCTGTAGAATGCCCTCATTGATAATCTGAGGGCATTAATGACGGTTGATGCTTTTAAAAAAGTCTTCACAAGACTCAGACTCAGTCAATGTAGATTCTTCATCATCAACGGCAGGGTAATCTGAAGAATTTGAAAAAGGGCATCTTAATCTGGAAAATATCAAAATATGCTTGTATTAAAATGTATTCTAGTCATCTTGATTTGGACTGTACCTTTCAAGTACCTTGTGATGACATAATCGTGATTTGGCACACTTCATTTAATTTAAGTCAATACACGATTAAGGAGCAGACCACACTGGAGTGAGTTCATTTTAAACAAAGCTACAGGACCAGATAGTGTCAGCCCCAGGATCCTGAAAATCTGCACTGATAGCTATGTGGAATTCTGCAGCAACGTTTACCCTATTCCACTTCAAGAGGGACTTCCTGTTCAGTAGAGTACACCATGTCTTATTCCAGTAACTAAATTCCGCTGTCCTTGGTGACCATAGATTGGGCACCCTAACGTCCCACATTACGACAGCCTTGAAAGACTGTTTTTTGTTAACCTAAGAGGGCTACTAGACAATTTTAATGACACACTACAAGTTATTTATGTCTTTAGGTCAGAAATTAATACCATAATATACCATCTCAGTGAGCCCTCTATCACCTGAACAAAGGTAACTTGGAGAAGATGCTGCATGTTAAAAAAGTTAAAGATTAAAAAAACGCCATTCTGTCGTAGGCAGAGGACTAGCTTCTCTCAAAACTTTGGTGGAGCAGCAGACTAGGAGGAAGATATATTATTTTTTGAAGAATAACAAACACAGCATACTGGCAGGAGAGAGTAGCAGCTTAAGATAATGGCTCATTTCAGTGTAGTGTAGGAATAAAATATTCTGGCCATAACATAATGATGACATCTAATAGTTCTTCTCTGAACTCTAGTTCTTCTATTATCTGAATTATGATTCAAATTTTTGCGGATGAAGTTTAGTTAAGGGTCAGGATTTTGTCGAAGATTGACAGAGGATTTAATTAAAACTACCAAGTGAAATATTGGAGAAACTTTGAAGAAATCAAAAGACGTCAAGCCAACTTTGAAATAGCAATTAGAATTTGGATTGATATTGTAACTAGCCTGGCATAAAAAAAATCATCCTATAGTGTAATATGCATCATATTTGATACATACGGTTTCTGAAATATCTGAGACTTTGCCCAGTTGTACACAATCGGATACACCTGATTAGAGCAGGTAGAAAACTACATGAAAATGAATTTGACAAATCTTATGGTAATAAAATATGATTAAAAATGATTTTTTATCGGACTTTCAACGTTTGTAATGATATCTCTATGTTTGTTTGGTAAAACTAGAAAATTTGTGTTGTTTAATTCACCTATAGTTCAAATTGAGACGCTTGAGCAAGGTTGTATGAATGAATTAGATTCCATAATATGGATGTGATCAAATTTCCTCTCAGCCTGTGGTTTTCATTTGCCTCCTTAAAGCAGGATTGAGAGCTTCGGGTTTCTTCCTTTGTCTGCAGTGCTAATACATGTTCACTGGCAACCTAAAAGATTGCCTGCAATGAAAAGAACTTTGTTTCATCTTTGTAATAGTTTTTCCTGCTTCAACTGCCACTTAACTTTTTTCCTCCCTTCCTTCAACCTCTCCATCTTTTAAACCTGCTGTATTTCCCTCTTGTGTGTACAATGGCCGCTTTGTTTTTTTCTGCCTTCTCTTTCTAATTTCTGTTCATTTTGTTCTGTCTTGTTTATGGCCCCCTATTTTTTCATTTTTCACCTGGCATGGCTTATGTTCAGCCTTCGAAAGCTCACTTCACACTCCCACGCCTCGGGAGTGTGACAGGACCTCCTCCACCCCTCTGTCTCCATCCACACCCAATTACCCAGCTCCGGGGGCGGCAGCGCTCTCCCCCACATCCCCTCCAACCCCACCGCTCAGACACTCGGCGTCCAGATTTGCGGCCTCGCTCAGTTCGGCCTTTCACCCTGTCCTGCCTCACTACGCCACCGCTCCGAGACGCCCGCAGGCCTTCCCACAAGCTCCGCCTCTCGCCCAAGATCCCGCACCTTCAGCTCAACCCAAGTCCGTGGTCTGGTCAGCGTCTAACTTTACCCCCTTGCCACCGTCACCCCCCGTCATGATAAGCAGCCCGCCGGGGAGGGCCACAGGTCCGTGGCCTCTCATCCCGATCGCCACACCGTGTCCTATTAACCAAAACCCCCCCTCGCCATTACCCAACGGGCCGCCCACGTTCCCCGCCCCTTCTCCGGTCACCATCCCACACAGCCACATACCCCTCGGAATCGCCTGCCCGACGCCCCCTCCTCCGCCCACCCCTCCCCCCGTCTCCTCACCCATAGCTACCCCTCCCTCTTCCCTCCCTGTCCCGTCTCCCCCCTCCTCATCCCAGGCTCCTGGTGTGCCCTCTCCCTCCACAGCATCCCCCGCTACCGCGGCTGCCACTATCACCTCTTCATCCGCTGAGCACCTTTCCCTCCATGCGGGTCTGGGCCCGTTGGGACTAGGAGAACCCGATGCAGCCACAGGTCTCGAGCCCCACTCAGCTCCAGGGGGCTTCTCCTGTCCGCCCCAGGGTAAGGTCTCCAGTCTAGATTTCTACACTCTGTTTTTCACTCTTTCAAAGGCTGTATGTCCCTCTTTTATCTTCCAAAGCCTCTGACTTACACATAGGAACACACTGATAACAGCTGTATGTTCATTGAGTTTTAACTTTATTTACAAAAAATGAACCTGTCCAGGTTGCTGTAATCTTACTTAAACTTTTAGAAATCCAGAGGATGTAAAGCTGTGGCCCATTAGTCTGTTTCTTCCAGGTTATATATATCTCTGTTCAAGTACATTTAGCCAAAAAGATCGGACATTTTGTTATAAAACTTATTTGGTAATAATTACTATTATCATTTTGTTCTCACTTATCATTTTCTGCTCTCTAGAATATGTAATTGTCACCATGTGAAATGACTCACCTTAAAAAAATCCAAGTTTCTACAAATGTAGAAAGAGATAGCATACAGGGCTTTTTTTTCCTTTAGTACCTGCTCATTGCAATTCAAATGTATTTTTTTCCTGTCAGGTGCTAGTGTCTTTTTTTACACTTAGTTTTTTTTCAGAGCTTTCCGTAACATAACGAAATATACAAAAACAGACTTACATTGAAAAACTTAAATTAAAATCTAATCAATAAAAATAGGTATTATGGTATACCTAATTTATTTCCATCCATGCCAGATTTTTTCAGATATGGTAACCTGCCAACTACCTGAAAAAGTAAAAGTGAGAAAGTAATAATCTCTGTCACATGTAAACTATATGTAATCTAATACCAGTCATCCACGGTTTGGACCTTTGTTCTTAACCCATTCTTTGTGATAGCCCGTCAGCCTGCTAAATTTAAAATGTCAAACAAGCGTTTAGACTAAAAATTCAAACAAAAACTCATCTCACTTACAAGGATTTTTCATGCCTAAGATTACTTTTCTACGTGAATGTTTATCCAAAAGCTTTTAATCAGTAGACATGAACAAAACAAATTTTGTGTCCCTCTCTTTAGGTCAAACTATTTAGAAAGAGCTCTGTTAATGTTGATCCTCACCTGTGGGCTTTTATATAGTGTTTGAATAACTGCTATGAATTATTTGTGATATCCAAATTGTCCCAGGACTTTATAAAAAAAAACAATTTCCCAGTTAACATGGTCTAAAGCCTTTTCAGCATCAAGACCCATAAGCAATATTTTAATTTGGTTTTTATTTACATGAGCCATTATATGTAAAGTTCATCAACGTTTGTCCCTGTTTAATAAGACCGGTCTGAATCTAAGCTAATTTTTCTGGGAAAATATTTCTCCGCACTATAAAGCCTTCAATTTTATTGAAAACCGACCGTGCACCTTATAATCCGGTGCACCCTATGTATGGATCAAGATTGAGCCACAATCTTGATCCATACATAGCAACGACAGGGAGCAGCCGCCGACTCAATTTTCTCCCGTAGAAGAAGTAGCGCTTTATGCATGCTGGGATATATTAATTTTTGTTTCCATTTTTCCAAGATTCTACCAGACGCAGAGTTTAAACTCAAAGTTACGCAGTAAAACATGGGAACAGAGCAGCAGTTCGAAATTTAAACATTAATGAATCAATGGTGAGGAAGTGGAGGTAGCTGACCGGTGCCATGTAAAAAAAAACTTAACAGAGTTTCCAAGGGAACAAAGCAAGATGGAAACAGTTAGAGGACAAGCTCGAACAGTGGGTTATTGAACAGAGATAGCAAGATGAAGTGTCTCAACAGTCACTATTCGAATGAAGGCAACAGTGCTAGCACGCAAACTCAACATCGGTGAGGCGGTCCTTCTTGGCGCTTCCGGTTCAGGAAAAGACGTTATCTCTCCATCCGCACACAAACTACTGTTTCGCAGCAACTGCCAAATAACTACCAAGAAAAGCTGGCCACTTTCCGCACACACTGCAAAAACAAGATCACTTGCACATCCTCAACATGGACGAGGTTCCACTCACCCTTGACATTCCTGTGAACCGCACTGTGGATAAAACGCGAGCATATAAGGTGAATGTTTGCACCACAGGGAATGAGAAGTAATCCTCCACCCGTAGTTCTCGCCCGCCAGGCTAACGGCCAGAAAACTTCCACCCATGGTTATTTTCAAGAGGAAGACCTTGCCAAAAGAAAAACTTTCCCACCGGCGTCGTCATCAAAGCTAACTCAAAGGGATGGATGGATGGATGAAGACAAGATGAGTGAGTGGTCGAGAGAAATTTACGTCAGGAGACAGGGTGGCTTTTTTCACACAGACCCATATCACGGATGGAGTAAAAAAACAAGTCAACTAATTCTGCAGCGACATTGACTCAAATAATAACTTTGACGAGACGGAGCTGGGCATGTTGAATCCCGTATTAGCCCAACTATTCAACTCGGACACTGAATAAGAAGAATTCGAGGGATTTGTTGATGAGAAATGAACTGGTAAATTGACATTTACGTGTTTTTTTTTGTGTATTTACAGCTGCGGGGTTGGTTATATTGTAAATAAAATACTAATAAAGTTTTACTTATATATCTGACATATCTTGTTTTATTGACATTCTCTTTAGCGCAATCAAATATACTTTATCAATCATTTTCTGGCGTCCTGTACAATGAAATTATAACGCATAATGCAACCCCAGCCACTCATAGTAGCCTTAAATATGAATTTTTTTTTTAGTATAGGCAATTCATTGACGGTGCGCCTTATAATCTAGTGCGCCTTATAGTGCGGAACATACTGTAACTGAAAGCAGTTTTCATTGTTGGAATCAAAAGATCTTTCATTTCCCTATACCACTCCTTAGGGAAACCATCTGGCCCCGATACTTTATTCTGTTTTAAATCAGAAATTTTGATTTCAAGTTCAGATATTTGAATTTAAAGCATTTAAGAGATAAATATATGCACCCCTGTTTTGGTTGTATATATACAGTTGTGGTCAAAAGTGTACATACACTTGTAAAAAATCATAATGTTATGGCTGTCTTGAGTCTTCAATAAGTTCTACAACTCTTATTTTTCTGTGATAGAGTGATCGGAACACATACATGTTTGTCACAAAAAACAGTCATAAAGTTTGGTTCTTTCATAAATTTATTATGGGTCTGCTGAAAATGTCACCAAATCTGCTGGGTCAAAAATATACATACAGCAACATTAGTATTTGGTTACATGTCCCTTGGCCATTTTCACGGCAACTAGGCGCTTTTGGTAGCCATCCACAAGGTCCTGGCAAGCTTCAGGTCGAATGTTTGACCACTCTTCTTGACAGAATTGGTGCAGTTCAGCTAAATGTGATGGTTTTCTTGCATGAACCTGTTTCTTTAGCACTGTCCACATGTTCTCAATGGGATTTAAGTCAGGACTTTGGGAAGGCCATTCTAAAACCTTAATTCTAGCCTGGTTTAGCCATTCCTTTACCACTTTTGATGTGTGTTTTGGGTCATTGTCTTGTTGGAACACCCAACTGCGCCCAAGACCCAACCTTCGGGCTGATGGTTTTAAGTTTTCCTGCAGAATTTGGAGGTAATCCTCCTTCTTCATTATCCCATTTACTTTCTGCAAAGAACCAGTTCCACTGGCAGCAAAACATCCCCAGAGCATAATACTACCACCACCATGCTTGACAGTAGGCATGGTGTTCCTGGGATTAAAGGCCTCACCTTTTCTCCTCCAAACATATTGCTGGGTGTTGTGGCCAAACAGCTCAATTTTTGTTTCGTCTGACCAGAGAACTTTCCTCCAGAAGGTTTTATCTTTGTCCATGTGATCAGCAGCAAACTTCAGCCGAGTCTTAAGGTGCCTTTTCTGGAGCAAGGACTTCTTTCTTGCACGGCAGCCTCTCAGTCCATGGCGATGTAAAACACGCTTGACTGTGGAGACTGACACCTGTGTTCCATCAGCTTCCAAATCCTTGCAGACCTGCTTCTTGGTGATTCTTGGTTGACTCTTGACCATCCTGACCAATCTCCTCTCGGCAGCATGTGATAGCTTGCGTTTTCTTCCTGATCGTGGCAGTGACACAACTGTTCCATGCACTTTATACTTGCGTATAATTGTCTGCACAGTTGCTCTTGGGACCTGTAGCTGCTTTGAAATGGCTCCAAGTGACTTCCCTGACTTGTTCAAGTCAATAATTCGCTTTTTCAGATCCACACTGAGTTCCTTTGACTTTCCCATTGTAGCTTTTGTAGCTGAGTCTAATCACTGGGTCAAATGAGCCCTATTTAAATGGGCTCATGAGAAGTCAACAGCTGTAGTCAATCAGAATCACTTAGAAGAAGTGAAGAGGCCATGACATGAAGCTAATTTGATTGACACAACTCGCTACATCACCAAAATTGACATATTTTGTTGCTGTATGTATATTTTTGACCCAGCAGATTTGGTGAAATTTTCAGCAGACCCATAATAAATTTATGAAAGAACCAAACTTTATGACTGTTTTTTGTGACAAACATGTATGTGTTCCGATCACTCTATCACAGAAAAATAAGAGTTGTAGAACTTATTGAAGACTCAAGACAGCCATAACATTATGATTTTGTGTATGTACACTTTTGACCACAACTGTAGGTCTTAACTTTTAAAGGAATGTTGAATTTTCTCTAAATCATATAGAATTTCTCTATGATTTCTTATTTTGTAAATTGTATAGTTGAATTGTGGTTTCTTAAGTTGGGGAGCGATAATTTAGCTTGTTTACTTCCTGCCCCATATTATTTTTGTTGTAAGAATACCATTTTGTTCTTTATTTTTCATGAACTGATTTCATCTTCCTTTTGTATTTCAGCTTTCTACTTGTACTAATATTATGAGCATCCTTCACAACTTGCAGTCAGGTCAAAAGGTTAATTTGCTCATATCTTTTCCTTTTGTAGTTTGAGCTCCTGCCTACAAGCTACCTGCACTTACCCCCTTCATCACTTAATGTCTTCATCACTTCCCATAATATAATTGTAAAGCCTTCTTCATTATCGTTTTCAGTCGTTTAATTTAGCCTTCCTGATTTCTTCTCTCAAGGGGTCAATAAGACTTGCATGAAATCTGGAAAATGTTTCTCTTTTTTTATTCCCAATCATTAACCCCAAATACACTGGAGAAGAATCCAACAAGTCCATCTGTCCTATTTTGCAATTTACCACTCGAAACATAAAGAATAATCTTGTCAAGAATAACATGAAAAAAAATTTAACTATTTTTTATCGGGTTTAGTTCTTTCCAAACGGCTAAGAGTCCCAATTCCTTGATGATTCATGTAATATTTTTTGTTGTTTTGTTTAATCCCAACCTGTGTGGCTTTGAGTCCACGGATGGATTAAGTTGAAAATTTAAATCCCTCTCCTTCTACTGCAATCATTTAAAATATATGTTCATAAAATTTAAACTCTGATCATACTGGAGCATATATATTCATAAAAGTTATCAAAATACCTTCCAAATATCCCTTAAACAGCACAAATTTGCCCTCCTTATCCTTTCTCTCTTGTATATAGTTAAAGTGAAGCCTGCCTGAAACTAAAATGGCCACACTTGGAGCCCTGAATACAAAATTAATGCTGGTTGATTTCCCACTTTTTAAGTTTTTTATGCTCTGGCTGTGTTCAGTTTCCTGTTGGATGGCTACTTCGAGACCCTTTCTAAAATCCTTTCATTCTTTTGATGTAATGTCCATATTGGCTGGGTAATATTATCCACTTTAGGTCTAACTTCTACAGTATGTTAGTGTAAGTTTGCGGCAATTCTTGTCTTCATTGCGTTTCATCATCAGGTTTTTCTTGGATTTCTTGGGCATTTATTTTTTGTTAGATATAGTACCCAACTATGTTGCTGGAAATCACCGGCTGCATAAACTATTGATAACTTAACTTAACTTGACAATATGTAGACTTGAGATCACATCATGTCATACGAGTTCTCACATTGTATTTGACAACTGTTCACATCGAATTCTATAAGCACATTCATTTTTGATAAAAATTCATCTCCGTATAGAAAAGATGGGAAGTATTTTTTTTTAAATACGTTGAAGATCATTGACATCATTTGATTAAAACATTGTTATTTTCTGCCAGTTTATAACAAAAGTTGTGTTTAAATCAGAATAAACCGTTTCACTTTTCTATTAGTAGTGTCTTTACTTCATCTGCTCTTGAACCAAAAATTTTATTGCAACTCATCAAAAAAACTAACCTTCCACAACTTCCAGGAGCCAACAACATGAGGGGATTGCAATATCAATTGCACACTAAAATGTAAAGTATGACTGATAGCTACCAGCTGGATCCTAAGATAGACTAAGGAGATACTCTCATTCTATGAAAATTGGCCTCTGCCACTATTTGATCATTAGTTACTTTAGTAAATCTAACGGAATGGCAATTACTCCATTATGTACTAAAATTGTATTCGAACTTAATTCTCATTCAGGCTGCTGGTCCTGCCTATACTGTTAGCAATACTAGTTAAATCAACAATATTTCCTGCTGATGCCCGTAAATGCATTCCAATTACCATTGACTGTCAGCGATGATAGAAATGGCTAACATCAAATATCCCACTGTTTCATGTTGCACAATCCTGTCATTACAAGTAGTATACACTGTATGCCAGTAGGCTCATTTTACATGTACAAAAAAATATATATATTTTTTTCCCTTTACATAATTTACACATGCCAGTCAGAGGCAGGTCAGTTCAATATTGCCACATTGTCATGAACAGAGGTACACCTTAGACACATCTTTATTTTGTCCGAGACAAATAAGGCAAACGGTCTTTATGCTCCAACTCATTCCTAGAGTGTTTTAATGAGATTTGAAATGGGGACCAGCTTCCTAAGAGGCAGCAGTTTGAACTAGGACATCATTGTCCTGCTTCTCATATACTTCAGATATTCAAAAGTTAGCGGTGCCATTTTAGTCACAGAAAAAAATGTTTGCGAAAGCTGTTTATTTTTTTCTATCCTGTATCTTCACCAATCCCTTACCATTTTATTTTGTTACTCTAGGTGATGTGGTGCAAACCCCGGGGTTAAATGCGACAATCACGCCCCCACCGCTGCCAGTCGGCCTCACTATGACATCCGTGACTGCCTCCCCCACCACACCAGTCAACCAACCCCCTCCACCCCCACCTCCTCCACTGCCTGTAGCGCTGGCTCTGAGTGGAGCCCAACCAGTTCCACCTCCTCCTCCTCCTCCTGGAATCCCGCCACCACCCCCGGCGCCTCCCCTTCCCCCTGCACAGTATTCTCCCGCGGAGGACCGCCCCCTCTCAGGCCTGGCCGCTGCCCTCGCCGGAGCCAAGCTGCGCAAAGTGCCGCGTGTGAGTGGCAAATACCGACAAATTGAGCGATTAAAAATACAGTATAGTCACGTCCAAGTTGTAAAATAACAGTCCGTAAATGGCTCAAACTTTTCCGTACATTCTCAATAACTTGAGCGTGTGCAATATTTTGAAGGCTAGTGCATGCTAGGGATGCAAATTATCGATTAAGTCATTAATCATTAGTTGGTTATCTTATCGATCGACTTTCGATTAATTGATAAGCGGCGTTTTTCGCCTGAGTTTCAGGGCTTCAATAGGGCCTTAATATAATTGAGGTATTATATTACATTAGCCAACATTATGATACCATAATTATATTGTATTATATTATACATTCCTCAAGTAATTATGCATTAGGAGAAGAAAGCAGACACGTTTTTAAGGTAAAACAAAATCTTTAATAAAAAAAAAACCTGGCTCAGATCTTGCATGATAGCGCTCATCAACAAACTGCTGGACTGGTTCAAGGCCAGCAGTTTGTTGATGAGCGCTATCATCTCTCCGGCTGATGCTAATGCTAACGGATAGGTGGCTATGCTAGCGAGCTAGCTGGCTAACGCCCCAACGTTCTTGTTTTTGTGGTCGCGGACAGTCGCTATGACAACCTTTTTTGCCTGAATTAACTATATCGAAGTGGTCCCACACCGCACTTCTTTTCGCCCGCTTCATTTTGTTTTCAACCCTGGTCTCTCTCGCGACACGAGGCGTGTTCTCGTTCTCACGCTGTGTTCAAGTTACAGTAAAGCGCTAGCACCCTCTAGCGGTTAATCGTGATTAATACATTTTGATCGAGCAACCTCTTGATCGACAATTAATCTAAAGTCGATTAACCGTTTGCATCCCTAGTGCATGCATTATATGATATTAAAGATAAAATATATACGTTTTCACAGGTAAACAAAAATAACCCAGTAACTTTTAAATGTTTCTAGCTAGTTATGCTTGCGCATAAATTACATTTTCTCTCTTTGCAACGTCCCACTTGATAGCTTTCAGTGAAATATTCTCACACAGATGTAATGGTTGTGCAAGGTCTCAAAATCTAGTCACAATTATTCTATTTTTTTTACCAAAAAGGTGTTTTCTCATATAATTTCGACAAATTCTCCGTGGATGCTTGCGTTATCAAAATAACAAAATACACACAGCATCCACAAATATGAAAAAAAAAGTAGTGTTTCTTCAATCTGTAATTGACCATAAAAAATGGGGAAATATCATTTTTCAAAAAATTCTTTCTGATTTTACTTTCAGAGTGATGATGCAGGGACAGTTTTGGCAGCAGCAATACCAGGGGCTCTAGGGACCACAGGGCCTAAAACTGAGGCCAGAACCAATGGGCCTCTAGCTGGAGGAGGAGGGCTTATGGAGGAGATGAGCGCTTTACTGGCCAGGAGGTAGTAACACACTATAACGTAATACTTTAAAAGTAGATAACCAAGTTCAGATGAAGAATATTTTTTAGAATTTCTTTGATTGCACCAATGTGACCTGAGATAATTGTAGCGGCACTTTTTTGACTTCCCATTTGTTCTGACTTAAAGAATACAGCCCGATGGTGAAACCGATGATAGTTGGTTTCACCACAGAGCTTTTCTCCTCATGCTCAGGAGACCAACCCAACCTCACCAAACGTGTAGTATATCCTTTTATTAACCATTCACCGTTTCCCCACTTTGTCTGAACTTGACATTTTACAGGAGAAGAATCGCAGAGAAGGGTTCCTCACCTGAACCTGATCAAAAATCAGTAAGTGTCTCTGAGATTTTTTTTACAAATCTTAATTTTGGTCCACTGTATGTTTGTAAATTACTCCTAGGTTACATTCACACTGCAGCTAGAAGTTACCCAATCCTTTTTTTTTGCCTGAATGAGACCTGTATTCAATCTGTATCCACATCCAACCTGTATCCACGTCCAAGTGTGAATAACACAGATCAGATTTTTTTTCAAATGCATCCCAAGCCACTAGGATATGTGGTCCTAAATCAGACAGGTACTCAATCTTTTCAAATGTGACCTGAGTCTGTATAGCCAGGTCATTCCACCTGCAGGTCAATGAGACTTTACAAAAGCTACTTTTCGACATCCTGCTACGTCAAAGGAAAATAATAACCGTAATGCTGAGAACAGTCGGTGGACAGAAAGCGTTTTCTAACTTAATTAGTATTTGGGGGGGATAGGTCTATCCAGGCCAAACTCAAAGGGGTCTCATCAGAATGGGGATTTCTTTGTAAGCAATGCTAACAAACAATACTGTGATGTCACGAAATTGCAGTATGGATTGGCTTCTGGCTGTAATGTCACTTCACTGCATTATCACTTGAACGTGGCCTAAGTTGTTCAAATACCCAATAGCTCTGTGCTAGGGATGCCAACCATTGGCAAAGAGATACTATGTATTCAGTGTATAACTCTGTGACAGTCTAAACTTCTTGGGAAAACCTTATCCATTAAAGTCTCAATAGTCATATGGTCTACTCTAATTGTGTTCTTTATAAAAAAATCCACTGATTCAATTTTTATGCCAGAGCCAATTCCAAAAAATTTTTTTTTTTTAAAGTACAAGATAGGTGGACAGTCAATATATCACATACGTGCATTAATGCTAACATTATCTCAGACGTTTGAAGTCACATTTATAATTGAAAAATTTTAGGCGTCTATTTGGAAGAACCAAGGACTTACAAAACATGATCTAATTTGCAAGACCCAACAAAAAGCACAGCCAAAGCCAGAGACCAAGAAAGATAATTAAACTGAGAAAAAACTAAACGAAACCTAGAACTGATTTAAAAAAAAAAAAAAACACTGAGAGAAGGAGCAGGAAACAAGAGCGGTGGTGGAAACGACAAAGCCACAACAAAGTTATGACAATATGATGAGGATCTGATTGGGGTCCTGACTGATGAATGGGAAGCTTTATTAGAGGAGTGTGTGATTAGTGAAATGAAAGCAGGTGACTGAAAACTAGATAAAGAGCTGTTCCTGCGAAACAGCTGTGAGAATGCCAACAGCTGAATGAAGAGAGCAAAAGAGTTTAAAGCAAAAAGGCTGAAGACAGCACAAGACAGAACTGAGGAAGCAGAAGAAGCCAAAGAAAAGCTGAAAAACTCATAATAGAGTCTAATTGGATAAAGGCTGAAGTTAGGAATAATAACCCATAGGAAAACTGAGGAAAAGCTAAAATTTCAATGTTTTTAAAACTGCCATACTTCAAAAACGGCTGAAAATTTTTAAGAGAAAAGTAATAGATGGATAGCTGAATGGCTTGAGAGCCATATAAAAGTTGATTTTTTTTTCTAGCTGAAAGTAGGCTGAAGTAGTTAGGTCTGAAGTAGGTCAAAGTTTTAGACGGAGTTGAAGATTTCTCCATTCATTTCAATGAGAGAAGACAAAACAGAACAAGTGAAATCACTTAAAAAGTTGAAAAGATATGAACACCAAAAGTAATAGCAGCTATGTGCTGAAGGAGCTGAACATTTTGATACCTTATTTGTTGAAATCGGCTGAAAGGTGTAGGAGGAGTTAGATGCACAAAAACGTACGGAAGAGAAACAGGAAAGGTATAGTGAGAATGCCTGTAGGCATTCTCACAATTACAGGTGCAGGGAATTGAGTGATAATGGGAAAAGGAGGGAGCTGAAGGAAGTGAACAGAGGGGAACAAGGGGAAACAGGACGACAAAACAAAATCAGAAAACTTCAATCACTAAACCTAAAAAAAAACGTAGAACATGACAGTTACACGGGTAAAAAAAAAATATATGTATATAAATATATGTATTGGATGTATATGGACTTGTTGGCTTCATAAAGATCATACAAAATCCAGTCTCTTCATGGTACACGCTAGTCAGTGTTGGGTAAGTTACTTTAAAAATGTAATCCGTTACAGTTACAAGTTACCTTGTTTAAAATGTAATTGTAGTGTAACTTTTTCAATTACTTTTAAAAAGTAATGTAACTAATTACTTTTGATAACTTTTTGATTACTTTAAGGTTTTAATGAGTATTAAACCATGATTAATTTTAGCATGTTATTATTAGCTATTGGCCGCAGCTAGCAGTTCAAGGCTAACGTCTTGTTAATGATCATAAACAACGTAAATAAATACATAAATAAATCGGAGACAAGGGGCGTATCCGGATACAACATTTTAGTATCTATACTTTTTTAAGTATAGATACTTTTGACAACCCTAGTCTGAAATGTAGGACATGTCCGGGAAAAAGAGGAGTTGGGTATGCTAGGCTAGTCTAGGCTAGGCTAGGTCATAGACATCGATAAATATTTGTCATGCATCAACACCAAACAGTCAAATGTTAGTAAATCAATACGCTTCGTCTATCAGTGAGTTGCATATTTTGCAAAGGTTTTTCTTTATATTTTTTAAAAAATGTAACTAAATTTGTAATTCTTAATATTTTCGGAAGTAACTGTAACTGAATTACATATTTTCTCATAGTAACTGTAACGAATTACAGTTACTCTTTTTTTGTAATTAAATTACGTAACGTCGTTACATGTAATCCGTTACTCCCCAACACTGACGCTAGTGTAGTCTGTGTTGAACTCTTGATATAACTGTCACCTATAATGTTCCCTATCTTTTACTTTTACTGCTCCATGTGTGTTTGTCTTACAGGAGGAGGCTGAAATAAACGTCACCCCAAAAGTCTCAGCTTGTAGCACACCAGGTAAGAGTTGTTACTTCTTTGGGGATGCACACAAATACTCCCATGTGTTTTCCGCACACTCAAAATGAAACTGAAAGTGGGATGTGTTAGAGGCCCATGACAAAAAGGAGGGGAGACAAAAACGGTATAGGCCAATCAATAGTTTATTGTAAAGTCTGAGTAACTTTAAATAGATAACACAAGGATGAGATGTGAGTATGTAAATATGTTTAGTGTGTGCAGTGCAGTGGTGGGAAGTAACGAAGTAGTACTTAAGTACAATTTCCGTGTATCTGTACTTTACTTAGGTAGATTTAATAATGGCTACTTTCTACTTTTACTCCACTACATTTAACAGTAAGTATCTGTCCTTTCTACTTCACTACATTTCTATACAGCGTTTCGTTACTCGTTACATCCAAGACGCATTTCGTTTTTTTTTTATTTGTTCGTCAGTTTGAAAGTATCCAATGGCGAGAGCAGAATCAGTCCGCTGAACCAATCCAAAGCGGGAAATAACCATTAGGCCCTCCCTCAAGAAGAGCAGCACAGTACGCAGGACCTGCATAAAATATCTAAATCTAAACTGTCACAGGGGGTAAACACAATAAAAACACGCTTTATCTGCAGCATTGCTCATTAAAATGGTACATTACTGATTTATTCAAACTAAATACGATAGGTACACTTAATGACATTATATAAGCCGTTAGGTATTATGGTTGGCAAGTACTTTTACTTTTAATACTTAAGTAGTTTTAAAAGCTTGTACTTTCTTACTTTTACTCAAGTAAAATAATAATGTGGTACTTTGACTTTTACTTGAGTAAATTTTTGTCTGTGTATTTGTGCTTTTACTTAAGTACATTGTATGAGTACTTTCTCCACCACTGCTAACCATCAAAGTAACTGAAAAGAGGGATCTGATAGCCAAAGACAAAAAGATAGTGAGTCTTTTACTTTAACTTATTTTAACTGCTGAATTAAATGTATGTGTGTCATAGTGCCAATATCAATCAACTACAATAGGCAAAATAAGAACAAATATCCAGGAAATCACACTGTAGGATTGTTAGAGAATTATTTAGTGAATTACGATTGAAAAATAGTATTTGGTCTATAACAAAAGTTCAACTCAGTACTTTGTAACATAACCTTTGTTGAGGTTAAACATTTCCTGCAAGTCTTCACCAGGTTTGTACACACTGAAGCTGGTATTTTGGTCCATTCTTCTATGCAGATCTCCTCTAGCGCAGTGATCTTTTGAGACTGTCACTGGGATGCATGTACTTTAGTACAGACCGCCTCCAAGTCAGGTTAAGGCAGTGCTTCTCAATTATTTTCTGTTACGCCCCCCCAGCAAGACAAAAAATTTTCGCGCCCCCCCACTCCCCACCGTGACTATTCATCTCTGAATAACATTTTATCCTTATTAACATTAAAGAAAAGAAAAAAAGAAAGACATATGGTCAAACTTACAACTTTATTAAATCTTGTTTTAGGTCTACAACAGAAAAGATTTTAAGTGCATCAATGCCTGAAATTAAAAATAAATAAATCCTTGTTTAAACTGTAAACATGTTTGACCAACTAATTGCACCGTAGCAAAATTAAATCAAAATCAATAAATAATAGTTAATAATTATAATAACTAATAAACTACAAAAACAACTAAAATAATAACTAATTTATATTCAGTTAAGCAACATTAACTAATATATA